GTAAGGACATCCAGTTATTTCAGGGAACAGGAAGCCCAGACATAACAGCTTCACCAGGTAGACTCAGGTCGGTGACTCCCGTGGTCCTCCCCTGTGGTTGCAAAGCGGGCTCACGTCCTTGCAGGACCACCTACTGAGGGGCATGGTATCGACAGGGGACTCTTCTCACCTGTCTCAGGGAAAAACTGTATTTCCTAGGCGCCCTGGGCAACCTTCCTGTAGGGAGGATTCAGCGGCTGACTGCGTGTGAAATGGCAAGTGCGCTCTAAGTATTAGGTCCGGAAGTCAGGGTTGTATGTGAGCCCAGAAACAACGGGCCCCCTACCTGGAAAGCCCCCCTTACCAAGGCAAGATATGTAGCCTTTGGCTCTAGGGGAGGAGGGTACAAGTTCAAGTCTTCCCCTTGTTTCTGGGCGTGTGTGGGGTGGGTGGAAGGGGGTTGTTGCTATGGAAAGGCCTCTGACTTTGGAGTCACACCAGCGAAGGTTCCAGGGTTTTGCTACACACTCTGAACAATCAGTTTGGCCTCCATGGGCCTCAGTTTCCTCAAGTGTAAAAGGGGTATAGCAACGCCTACCTCAGACAATAGTTATGAGAACCAAGTAAGCTCCTGTGTATTCACAGGTCTGGCACGTAGCGGGACCTCAGTAAACAAGTGTTCTCTCTCTCACTCTTGGAGGAGACAGTTCTAAGTCAGTCTTCCTGAAACTGTTTTGACTACAACAGATAGAAATACATTTCCCATCTCACTAGAACACACACACAGACACAACTATATGTAAAATTAAAAATCTATTTTCCTTTTTCTCACATTCTAGTCTATTTTCTTTTTCAAATGCCTGTTGTGACCCACTGTGTGCTACAGTCTGCAAAGTGAGAAAGGCTGTCCTGAGTGGACCTTTTGCCCCTGGATGGGCATATTGTCACATCAGTCATGCATCCCATCCACCTCTGTCCCCCAAGTTCCCCTCCCTCCTGGGGTGGCTGGATGGACTCTTTGCTCTTAGACACTGGCTGAGCCTTGAGTGTTCCCTATCCAAGAGGGCTGGCGTCAAGCCCAGCCTTGAGGGCTGGAAGCTATAAGGTGTCCCAGCAGGAGCTGCACCCCGCGGCTCCCCTAAAGTTCCTGGAGAGCCCCCACATGGGGAGGACTTCTGCTTGGATGGGGAAGCAGGATCCCTTACCCACCAGGGTGACAAGCCAGCCTATCTGATGGAGCCTTCATGGCAGTCATTAGTGAAATTCCAGCCCCTCTGCCTGAAGTCCATCTTCCCCCGGGCCCTGACATGCGTGATCTCATTATGCTGGGACTAGGCATCAGTGGCCGGGGTTCCAGAAGAGGAGCAGAGGCTGGGAGAGCTGCACACACAGCCCCTGCGTGGCAGGTGTTTGTCTGCAGAGCCCAGCTCTCAGAGGCAGGCTCCAGTGGCAGTCAC